ATATCGGCGGAAGCATTTGGGAAATTCTATCGCAAGGGAGAAACGGCAGGAATTCTCAAATGTGATTATCAAAATCCAGGAACAAGCCTAGCAAAGATCAATATCAGTACAGAGCTAGCCATAAGAAGTCGACCGCAGACCAAGGACAAAAAACTAGACCAACTGGTACCCAAGGAATACAATCAACATCTAGACTTGTTCCAGGAAAAGGAATCAACCAAGTTACCTCCCCACAGGCCAGATGTCGATTTGGAAATCAATTTTGAAGAAGCAAGCAAAGGACTACCTCAGAAGAGAATATACCCGCTAGGAGAAACAGAACTCGAAGAACTAAGAAAATATATTCAACAAAACCTGGAAAGAGGATGGATTCAGCCATCCTACGCCAACGGAGGATCACCCATCCTGTTTATCAAAAAGAAAGATGGAAAACTAAGGTTGTGCATTGATTACCGAGCACTCAATTACATAACAAAAAAAGATAGATATCCCCTACCTCTAGTAGGAGAAGCATTGGATCGACTGGCGTCAGCCAAATACTTCACCAAACTGGACATTCGGGATGCCTATCACAATGTCAGAATCAAGAAAGGAGATGAATGAAAAACAACATTCGCGACGAAATATAGGACCTATCAATACTTGGTTATGCCATTTGGGCTAACTAATGCGCCTGCCTCGTTCCAACGATGGATCAACAAAGTACTCCACAAGTACCTGGATATATGTTGCATCGTCTACTTGGACGATGTACTAATATACTCCAAAGATATGGAACAACACCAAAAGGACGTCAGCAACATAATGGCCGACATCAAAGAGTCAGGAATGAGGTGCAAACGTAGCAAATGCGAATTCCACAAGAAAGAAACCGAATACCTAGGATTCACTATCAACGGCGAAGGGGTCCAGATGGACCCAGTTAAAACCAAAGCCATATGGGAATGGGAATACCCCAAGAACAAAACGGATATCCAATGCTTCATGGGATTTTGCAACTTCTATCGAAGGTTCATAGAAGGTTTTAGCCGAACAGCTAAACCATTATACAACCTGACAAAAAAGGATGTCAAATGGGAATGGTGCTCTATGGAAAGAGAAGCATTCGACGAACTAAGGACCAAGATTACCGAAGGACCAATACTGGTACATTTCAACCCCACAAAGGAAACAATGATCGAAACAGACGCTTCGAAATACGTATGCTCAGGCATACTCTCTCAAAAATGCGATGACGGCAAATAGAGACCAGTGGCTTTCCGATCCAAAACAATGACCCCAGCGGAATGCAACTACGACGTCCACGACAAAGAACTATTAGCTATAGTTCAAGCACTAAAGGAATGGAGAAGATACACGCAAAACAATCACGCACCAGTCAAAATACTCACAGACCACAAAAACTTGGTACCCTTCATGACCACGAAGGAGCTAAACGGACAACAAATAAGGTGGATGGAGAAACTCAGCACCTACAACTTCCAGATTGAATATCGCCCCGGAAAAGAAGGAGGAAAGCCAGATGCCTTGACGAGACGATCAGCGGACAAACCAAAAGACCCAGAGGACGAAAGAATCAAACAGAAACAACAAATACTGTTACCGAAAGAAAAATATTTTCAATCAGAGGACAAAGACAGTGGATATGAGTCCCTGAATGAAATCAACACACGAACAACATTGGAAGAAGATATCAAGGGAAAAAGTTCGCAAGACGCGGAAATCCAAGCCATAAAGGAAAAACTGACACAAGGGATAAAAGAAGCCAAGGGGGTAGCCTTAGGATTATGCCAATGGAAAGACAACTACTTATGGTACGACGGGAAAATCTGGATACCAAACAAAGAAGAATTACGCACCGAAATTATACGACACCATCACGACCCTCCATATGCCGGGCATGGAGGAACCGCCAAAACTACCGAATTCATCAACAGAAGATATTACTGGCCCAAGATAAGAGAAGACATCAAACGATATGTCAAGAATTGCGACACATGCCAAAGAACCAAAGTGGTACGACATGCACCTTACGGATTACTCAAATCAAATGAGGCCCTGGAAAAACCATGGAAGTCTATATCATTGGACTTTATAACCGAACTACCCAAGTCAGACGATCATGACGCCATACTAGTGGTAGTAGATCGCCTGACCAAAATGAGTCACTTCATAATGTGCAAGACGGATATGACGGCACGGCAGTTTGCAGCAATATTCCTAAAAGAAATATACCGCCTACACGGATTACCTAAAGACATCATTAGCGATAGGGGATCCCTATTTACTTCTGAAGTATGGAAAGAAGCAACGGAAAAACTAGGAATCGAACGATGAATGAGCACAGCCTTCCACCCCCAGACGGATGGGCAAACGGAAAGAATTAATGGCATATTGGAACAATATCTCCGTGCATACATCAACTACCAACAAGACGATTGGTAAGACTGGCTATCACTAGCCGAGTTCGCCTACAACAACGGAAAACAAGAAACAATCAAAACAACTTCTTTCTTCGCAAATTACGGCATACACCCCGAATACGAAAGCATAGGTCATATGCTCCAAGGAAAGATAACGGATAAAAAGGATATGAGTCAACTACACGACACATTACGAAATGAACTGGTCACGGCTCAATTACGACAAAAGGAAGATTACGATCGCCACAGAAACCCCGATCCAAACCTAAAATCAGGAGATATGGTTTGGTTACTACCACGCAACATCCGAACCACACGACTGACAAAGAAACTGGATTACAAGAAAATAGGACCATTCAAGATATTGGCAAAGATAGGAAGCCGCGCTTATAAGCTCGACCTCCTACCGTCAATGAAAATACACAACACCTTCCATATCAGCCTCCTCGAACCCTATCAAGACAATCCTCTACCATATCAAAAGAAACCCCCACTACCGCCTATTGAAATAGACAGTGAATCAGAATACGAACTTGAAGAAATAATCGACTCTCGATTACACTACGGTCGCTTACAGTACAGAGCGAAGTGGACGACATACTCGCCCGAACACGACAAAACCTGGTACCCAGGCGAAAACTTCAAACACGCACAAAATGCAGTCCAACAATTCCACCGAAAATACCCCCACAAGCCAACAACCGACAGTCGAAGACATATCCCATTCAGGGCATGTAACGCCAACACTATACCGCACAGACTCTTACCAGTGGGAATATCCCAAGGGAAGAGGTGCGATGATGATGCCGTCAACCCTACAATCATTGCCAGAACGCAAGGCGTTCAAACACATCACACCAACGAGTCCAGGATACCAGACCCCCACCCCGCAACCAGCTCCAATCAAGATGGAGCTGAGCAACGAAGATTGGACCAACCAGGTAAACCTCAACCTGAGGAAGACCACAACACCCGAAAGAGAACACGCGAACCTGTCATAGACAGGTTGCTACAACGACGAGTGCCAAGTACACAGAAGTGAGAAGGAAGGCACGGGATACTGGCCTCGGGAAACGAACCGATGGCCACCCAAGACTTTACCCCTGGGATCACCAACGAGATCCCCGATGCCCACGAGATCCCCCACACCAGAGCCAGTGGCTCTGGTCCAATACATCGAACCGACTCCGAGGACGGAATCGAGGAGGAGGGGGGCGAAAAAACAAAGACAATGGGCAAAGCCCAGGAAACTGAAGCAGGTTTCCTGGCAACAAGAGATGGAAGAAGAGATGGAGCCCGAGACCTCGAAAGAGGTCAAAATGAAATGGCTAGTCGAGAAGGTCGAAACGAGCAAGCTGCTGGAATATCAGGCGGAAAAGATAGAGGAGCTCAAGAAAGAGTTGGAAAGGACGAGGTGGAGCAACGACAAATTGACGGAGGAGTTGCAAGGAGAAAAGAACATGAGGAAGGCTCTCCAGAATGACTGGAGAAAAGAAGAAAAGGAAGCGAGAAGAACTCTGGCCAGGGTGGTCAGGGTGAACACGGGAGCAAATAGGTACTATCCACTACCCGAAGGAAGAAGATAGGGGATAGAAGACTGAAGCCCGATGGGACTCGGGCTGAGGGAGAGGGGAGCTAATGTCACAAACTGTGACTAAGCAAGGCAGATTTCATATAGCTCAGATTTCCAAGTTATAGGTATGTTGGGATTTCACATGACGCACACTAGTGCGCCATAGGTTATTATGTTTACCTGTTCGTGACTCACAGTTGTGAGTCACACGATGTTATGATTTTCGCACATGACTCATACTTATGAGTTTTGGGTTTCACTCAGGTGATGCGAGTTGCGCACCTGACTTGGTTATTATGTTTTGATTGGTTTAGGCAGGTTGTGCAGCAACTCATAGGAGTCGTCTGATGGATTTCATATGACTCATGGTTATGAGTCACAGGGTTCGCGTGACGCGAGGTGTGAGTCACGCCGGGTGAAGAGCGACTATATAAAAGGGTCACTAGGACCCTGAGTATGAGCTCTTCACACGTTCTTCTAGTTTATTTCCTACTTCTAAGTTATTATCAATAAAACCTACCTTTACACTCTTTAAGATTTATCTTAAGAAACCCGAGAAGTGTCTTTCCTCCCACGAGAAAAGATTAAAGTCCTAGGCGAGGACTAAGGAGAAGAATAAAGAGATAGGTGCTAGTACGATAGTAGTCAAAGGACTGGACTATCAGGTTCACGTAGGCATAGGCCTAAGAGCTATCACCTTACAGAGAAGTATCGTTACCTGTCGCTAGGTCCTACCCAGTAGGATTCTTAACAGTAATCATCATTGTTCTCATGAAACCCTATGGAATAGGGAAGCTGTCCAGAGTGTGTGAGGAGAGATACCAGTTCCTGCCCTAACTGCCGACTACAATAACAAAATAGATGGCATTGATATCGTGGACCAACAGCGTTCTTACTATGCTACACAATTGCAAGTAGCATGGAATTGGATGCCTATTTTTTTCTAGCTTTTAGATATAGTACTTATCAACTGCTTCCTTTTAGGGTACAAGCACTATCCCCCCACAAGGGTATATAACAAAAGCAACCACTAGAAATGGCATGAGGATCTGGCATCGGACTTGGTTCTTGAGGGATATCTTGAGCTCAACCCTGAACCCTCTCTACAATATAGGCAGCATAGGCGACCTCCTCCTGGAGTAAGATCCAAGCCTCTTAGAAATACAACCCAGAGTCGACAGAATGGGTACATTTCTAAGCACTACCGGCTTCCAGCTTGCCGTAAACAGAGTAGCAATCATGTAGTAGAACGAATTCCTCGGCAGAAACTCTGTCTTTTACCATTTTCTCCAATCTCCACATATTTCTCCTGACCTTCGCACTTCCTTTTTACATTATCCCCAAGCCCCCCAACAGTCTAAAATCCACCACAGTTTTTTTCAATGTCAATTCTGCAAACTTCCCCTTTGTAAAGCCTTTTGCTTTGATTTCTTTCATAAAAGCTAATTCTATTCTTCTAAGTATAATCTCTTTTGTCATACTATTGGTAAGTCAGAGGAGGTAGTTTCCGCCAGGTGGGGTTTCCGTAACTTTTGTATTGGTCCGTGCTTACCACCCACCCCCTTTGTTCAATTCGAATTATCTACATCAGAACCACCTATTTCTATAGGACTTTCAGCGGTAGACCCTTCAGAATTGGTCTCCGAAGCTGAATTCTCTGCCTTAACCCCCCCAGCCAGCTTTGACTCGGCGCATTCATAGCACCTGTACACAAGCATTGTGCAAGTCCTTTTCACTGTGTATGTGAACCACGGTGCTGAGGATCACAGAATTGAAGAGAGTAAAGAAAACGGATCAGAATTGAATACGTGGTGTCCAAATATATCGAGGAGGTTGGGTGGCATACATTGGTTGTATGGAACATACGGAAACCCCCCCTGGCGGAAACTCCCCCCTCCGACTTACCTTGAAGTAGTTGCAGGCGCGGGGGAATGGGAAACAGGATTAATCCTCAAACTGGTATAGCTGTCGATGTAGCGTGGTTGCTATCCAGCACTAATAAAACTCAGATCGCGCTAAAAGGGCCTGAAATCCCGGACGAAGCGAGGGATTGGACCACACCTGTGCCGGTATCCGAAAGCTTCTGCCGCCTGGCTTACGGTTTGTTATTTAAAAGGAAATGGTTCACCCAAACACCCCAATCGAACAATCTACGACTCTCCAAAATGCCCCTCCCCATTCCCCTCAACATTCCGAAATGGTTCCCCCGCCCCCTTCCCCCTCAGTCTTTCTGGGCTAATTGACTTACTGGTTGCACAGGGTCCAGGAGAACTCCCATCTCCTTCGGCCGCCCATAAACAACTACTGTGTCTACGACGAGCACATGACGGTGATGGTACAGTGCACATCCCCAATCCATCCTCCCTCAAAATTGACAAACGGCGAAAAGATCGTCGGGGGCCCCAATGCCCGGAATGACTACCACATCAACGAAACGCCAGAGTGGTTCTTCCAGTACAAGGGCGACATGCTGCTCAGGGTGGTTGAGGACGGCGGCAAATTCAGGGACATACGCATCGGAGAGGGGGAACTGTTTTTGCTTCCCCGTAAGACGCTCCCATGCCACCGCTTCCCCATCGTGCATCCTGCTAACGGGTGGTGGCATAACGGCTAGCGAATGTCCCGCATAATCCCGTTAGATTCGCCGATACCGTATCGCATTCCCTAAGAGCCTACTCGTACAAACATTGCACAGGAAGTGGGCTAATGGCTGGGGTGATAGGTTGGCATAGTGATTGAGCTGAAGAGACCGCCACAGAGCCTCGATCGTCTGCGTTGGTATTGCCCGGACTGTAAGAGTGTGGTGCACGAGGCGGCCTTTCACTGCACGGATTTGGGCGTTCAGATCAAGGAAGCTGTCAATAGGTTTAAGGAGTCGGAGGGGTTGAGGAGGTGTGCCAAATGTGGGGGCATGGCGACGGCGGCGTCGGCTGCTGTTAGGGATACCTGACTGGGAGAGGTTTGGGTTGGCTAGCTAGCTTGGGTTTGATGGGAGGGAGAGAAGGGGATATTAGTGAACGTGAATGTGAATAGGAATTGGGATTGGGAGTGGATTTCGGTTTGGCCTTGTGGCTACTATCATACCATCATACACAATATGATAACATTATATATGGAGGGTTAATTAATCTGGTACAGTACCGTACCGTCCTGCCTTGCCTACGAGAACTGGCCGGCTCATCTGATACTGTAGTCTATCCTGCCGGACCGGGTAAGTTAAACAAACCACAACCCCACCAATCAATTTCGCCATATGACGTTGGGCCCCTTGCCACCACCAAATCCAACAACCACAAAGTTTTTGGAGAAAAACTCTGCATAATATGGCCGCTTAAAATTTGCTCCTCCTTGATTCTATGGACATTTGGACAAAAAGTTAAGGCACATACAAATTTGTGTCACGGCGCTACGTTCTGTGTGGGCAGTTACTACTAAGCGGAGAAGGTGGGCAAGAGCATCGGTTTTTGGAGTCTGGGACTGCTGATACCACGGCGGCGGTCCACTACTGGTAGCTCACCTGTCTGCCAACAAAAATCAAAAACCAAAGCGATATCAACCCGAGCCGCCACTCCCTCCCTCCCATAACCCACAATTCCCGACTCCCGCCAATGTCTGTCTTCCACGCCACCAAAAACTTCATCCTCCGCCAAAGCCTAAAATCCCAGGCCCTGGTAAACGCCAAGATTCTACAAAACCCAATGCACCCACTCCACGCCCAGATCCAAGCAAAGTACCACGACCCGACGCTGAAGCACAAACTCGTCATCAACTTCACCGCCTCCAAGAGCGTTTCGAAGAAGGCCGTTGTGCGGAACCGCGCACGCCGACGAACGCGTGAGGCCGTTTACCAGGTGCTCCGAGAGCGCGGGTACGGGAAGGAGGGAGAGCCGCTGGCGGGGGGTGGAAGGGAGAAGGGTGTCACGGGGAGTCTGACTTGGTTCCCGACATTCGAGAGTGTTACTGCTGCGTGGGAGGAGTTGAAGGCGGAAGTTAGGGTTGCGGTAGATCGGTGGTTGGTGTTTAGGGAGAGGGCACTGGCGGGGGGTGGAGGAGATGGGAAGGGGGGGTGGGAGAAAAAGAAGGGAGGGGGCGAGAAGAGGAAGGGAGGGGGCGAGAGAGGGAATGGAAGGGGGTGGGAGCCCAGGGGAGGAAAAGGGAATGATGGCGGGGGGGGACCTGTCGGGAGAGTAGAGCTTACGTTTGGGAAGGAAGGGTCGGAGACGAAAAAGGCCCAAGCGAGGGGGGAGGAGCAGGAGCCCGTTAGGGGGCGGCCACTGATTAGGAGGGTAGGGAATTGAGATGCGCCCCAGGGAACGGGAAACACTGGTGAATCGAAGACTCAATGGCATCGTAGACTACAATAATGCGTCGCAGGGGTATTGACCCGCTCATAGTAAGTATGTATTATACGCATACCGGTAGTCCCCGGACATAACTCATCATTGGTCGCTCCATATAGAGTACGATGCACTACCTCGTCACAGCACAACAAAATCACTCCAAAATAAATAAAAAATAAAAAATCGAGCACAAGCGATTCGAGTTCACTATTAACCCCCTCCTCACGAATTACTTGCATAGGAGAGTTCAGAAATTCAGTGTGGGAACTTGGGTGGGTACGGCAGTTCAATAGGCATGATACAGTACCGATATACAATTCGGGAAGTCCCCATTTCATAAGGAAGTTCGCGCGGGCTCCGGGGCTGCAAGTATTTTCGTCGAATCTTGATATCCCGGTACTCGTGCGAGGGGCACAATCTTGGCTTGAAATGCAGCGCCGAACAACTTACCGGGACTGTAAACTAAGTTATCAGCACGAGTTGGGAAACACTACTCGTAGATAACCGGGTAACCCGGGCCCTACAATCATCGTTCACCCCGCCATATCATAGATATACTTCCTACTCAGAGAATACCGCTAGACTACATGATACCAAATCATCCCATGCCAACCGGCGGAAAACGAGAACCCCCGAAAAAGAGAGCCACCCACTCCCACCATGACCCAAACAATCCAAAGAGCGCGGGCACCACGATTGGCGGTAGCGGTAGGGAGAATGCGCTGTTGGTGGAGTGCTGAAGTGGTATCGGGATCTCGCCGTCTCATCGTGGGCCCTGCGGGGTTGGGGAGAGAGTTTGCGGATAATGGGGGGGGGGGACTGTGGGTTGGGATGATGATGATGAGGCTAAAACTATCTGAACTGCAGAAATGTTCGATACCCAGGTTTTACCGTATTAGAATACCGATATCCTTCAAGCATAATTTGGCCTTAAACAAGGTAAGTAGTTTCATTACACCGCCCTCTTCTCTTTTTCAACAATATATGGACATGTAGCCTCAGTTATATGCAGGCTAACGTCTCTCGGGAACGGAAAACCGCATGTAAAGGCAAAGGAGAGGGCGCATATAGAACTAACGCAATCACGTCGGCCGATTCCCAGGCTAAGACCCGCTCTCAGGAGTTCTATTATTTTGTTTGGGCGAGTGCTCAATCACCGAATCTCACCATGGCCTTTTACCGCGCCGAACAAAAAAAAAAATCCCTTCCTGAAAAGATGAGAGAAAAAGAGAAAGAAAAAAAAGATCATACAAGTGAAACGTTTTTATTGGAACCCCTCCGCCTAACAGAGCGCAACCCATTTAAATGTTGGAAGGATATAGCATAATACGGAGGGTGGCCCCGAAAGACTTAGGGGGGAGGTTGTTGCGGAACCTAGATAGATCACTGGCATTAATTACGGTTCTCTGGGGTAGAAAATCCATGAAGAGTAGAGGGTATTACTTAGCGCGAACAACCCCGCTGTTTCCGTGTGGCCTAGTAACTTTCCCCCAGATGACCTTCAAACATATCAGCTTATGAGCTCGTCACTGCATCGCATTGAGTGAGCATACCCTGATCTTAGATCCACGGACCTCACGCGAGGCTCTATAGACGAAAGCGATCTTCTTTCCTGCAGCCCCAAACTGTTAGCAAGAACCAAAAGCCACGATATATCGGGCCCAGCGAACCTAGGTAGAAGGAGGCATCTTGGCGGCTGTCTACACCCTCAATCTTGATGAGGGAGGTGTTGGGGTTGGTATTGCGCTTTCCCCTCTGGTAAGAGAGATGTCTTGCCTATTTCCTCCGGGCGCGAATCAGCCACCGATCCCGTCCACGCACGTAAAAATTATTCCCTCCATCAACCCGTCCGGCCTTAACCCCACCCCATCGAATCCTTTCCAGCAATTCATACTCCCAGCCGTTTCCCCAGATCGACCCCGTGGCCCTGCCAAGAACACAACCCCACCGCCACCACAATGCTGAAGTCCCGAAATCTCGAAACCTATCGTGCGAAGAGCGGAAGAAGCGGAAAACGGGGATATCTTACCTTAACATAAACTAAATACCGGTTAGCTAAAAGCACCCAAAAACGCTCGTTTCCTGAGTAAAGGGTGAGACTCACGTCTATGACCTGATTCAGGCATTTTATATCCTATTCAATTCGAAAAAAATAACAATGGAAATTCCAGGTCAACGCTATCCTTCCTGCCTTTTCCGAGAAACAAAGAAAGCAAAAACCAAAACTTGAGGAGTATGTAGAATCTCTTACTGCTTGGAGAGTTATTTTGTGTATTGGGGAGGTGGGGAGGTGTCGTTGCCGTTGAGTTGTGGTGTTTGCCGTTAATTTCACGATTATTCGGTTAGTGTGTGCCTGTGTGAGTGTGCGTGGGTGGTTAGGGTTGTCCGCGATTTGTGGGGGGCTTGGCGAGGGCAGTCACGGAATTTATCATTTTTGGTGTTGACAAGGGAGCTGCACGGTCTTGGTCATCCGCCTCCCTGCTGCTTCTCACGGCGAGGGTTATTGGCGACACCGGCACTGTAGATCTAATTGCCTATCGGGAATCTATTCGATTTTACTGTCCTCGAGTATCCATAGCAGTCGCATTGGAATTTTTTGGACCTCTAGGGTCTGTTTGCAGATTTGCTGTAACTCACCTACGAGTATTTTGGCTTGGAGGCTTAATCCCCTGAAAAATAATGTCACGTGGTTAGTATTGAACAAAAGCGGCTGTTTCTCTGAGTGGTTCCACCGCAGTTGCGATTATTCTAACCTATTGTACATTACGGTAAACGGGGATTATGTATCCCTCCGATTAGAGAGTTCTGACCCTTCAATTCCGAGACCCTGCATCGCTCACACCAAACGCCGTGACAAGAATTTGATATACATTTCCAAAGCAAAAAGTACCCTCCGTAGAAGCAAGGCTAAAGCACAATAGCAGCGTCGCCTGATATCCTTCTATGAATCCCAAAACTTATGTCGGCCTTAAGTGAGGCATAGCGGGCGCATCGGTCGTAACTGTGGCGCTCTTGTTCCATTGCTTCTTGACGTGTTTTGCTATATCGATCTTTGCGATCAAGTACTCCCCGGAGGATATCTCAAAGGTCCTTTTTTGCATGTTTGTCTCCGCTGAGCCGGCAACGGGCTCATCTCCGTTCATTAATATGGCTTCTTCATCTCCCTGCGCTCGTGCGCTTCTTCCACTAGAACTTTCTTGTGAAGAGGTTGAATATCTTCGAGTCTCTCCTCGCTCCTCACTGTCCAGGTCCTGCGGTGGCTGCCGGCCTTCCTCGATCCGGACACTCTCAGCATCGTGATCGTGCTTCACAGCAATGACTGTAAGCATTACTAGTTGCAGAAACAGTATGGCGAAATCCATATACACCAGCCGCCATTTCGATATCGGGCCCTCTGCGAGCAACCAAATTAGAAAGAGAGCCACTGGCAGGGGCAAGAAACTTGAACTCACCCTGTCCAATAAAATCTATTATTAACCCACCATGCAGATAGCCGTTCGTAAGCTCCCCAGCACTGGGTGCAGATGCGATAACATGCCATAGAAAGCAAAAACCCCCGGAGCCGAACAGGGCAATGATATCCGACCTTTTCTGCGGCACTATAGGAAAGCCCATAGGTTTCGGGGTGAGGTAATTCATCTGAATAGCACACCGGAGAGAGAACCTAAAAAAGCTACAGCTATCATCCCCAAGCACTGGGTCAGCTCACCCTTGATCCGGAAAAACGGTAGGGGAGAGGGAGAGAATTGGCAGCACTCACTCAAGATAGTACAGGTAGCCAAAGTAACAATAGGTGATCCGATCTAAATTCCGCCACAGGTGGTCGAGGAACTCGGACCGTTTGTAACGCAGAATCTTGAAATAGCGATCGTGATTTCGTTCCTGGTCCTCCTCCTCCGGTTGGGTGGCAGCAGGGGGCTGTCTGTCTCCAGCATCGCTCATCGAATCATATGAAGAAGGAAGACACTCTGCGTGGAGGACAGAGAGTAGCTTTTATAATCTCTCTCTTTCTTTTCTTTTCTTCCTGGCGGAGGACTGGCGGAAGATGGTGGGGTCGTTGGTTGCTGGCTCGAGCAGAGCGGCGGAAGAGTAGTCGTTCTCGGAATAGCGTTATCAAATTGAACGTTCTCCGAGATCGGCTTAGCTCAGCCGTAACTTTTGTCAGCGACAGACGAGCGTTTGACCGCCGGAATGTTTCAGAGGATTCTTATGATGATTTTTCGTGTTTGAGATGAGTGGTGTATTAGTGATTGAGCTCTGGTCTTAAGAAATACTTGCAGTGTTTCCGCAGAGATATCTTCAGCCTTGACCACCAGTCCCCTGGTTGCTATTGTCGCATGTGAATGGTAGCCCAGATCCGCCCACAACTAGTATGATACTGTAGCAGTTGCATGCATCAAGATATGATTTTAAGTACAGATGTTGCACATTTAGGGTTAGGTGACATTGCTTGCACCGGCAGACGCGACAAGCAATTGAGAAAACGCGTCCCCCCAAAGTTTGTTCTGCCCACCACTCCCCACTGCCACTCGCTAACCACCTACTCGAGCACTCCTCCCTATCCACTCACCTCCGCCCCCCAGACTCTCCTTCATCTGTGCCCAATCTTTGATCATGGCTTCCTTCTTTGACATAGCGGGTCACAGAGCTGCTGCCGCCGCCGCACAGAATGCGGCCGTCCCTTCAACGAGAGCAAAAGATCCTAATAGGCCGGTTCCTTGGGTTGAAAAATAGTGGGCCCCCTGCTTTGGCCATTCTTTCTGATTCAAGTCGATTGACAATATTCAATTATTGCGCAGCCGTCCCAAAAACCTTGATGATGTCTCTGCTCAAGACCACACTATCTCTGTCCTCAAGCGCACTCTACAATCCTCCAATGTCTGTTCATCTGAAATACTTGATATGGTATTCAATTAGCTGACCGTCGGAATAAATAGCTTCCCCACATGCTCTTTTACGGCCCCCCAGGTACCGGGAAAACCTCCACAGTCCTCGCTCTGGCAAAAGAGCTCTATGGGTGGGAACCCCTTCCATCATTTCACACGTTATAAGTCTTCTAACAGCATCTCCCCCTCCCAGGCCCGAACTGATGAAGAGCCGAGTCCTCGAACTCAACGCCTCCGACGAGCGCGGTATCTCCATTGTCCGTGAGAAGGTCAAAAACTTTGCCCGGATCACCGTTTCCACCGCCAATTCCACCCAGTCCTCCAACTATCCATGTCCCCCTTACAAAATCATCATCCTGGACGAAGCCGACTCAATGACCCAGGATGCCCAATCCGCCCTCAGACGAACCATGGAGACGTACAGCAAGATCACCAGATTCTGCCTGATCTGCAATTATGTTACTAGAATCATTGATCCGCTTGCCTCGAGATGCTCCAAGTTCCGATTCAAGCCGCTGGATGAGGAGAATGCGAAGTTGAGACTAGAGGAAATTGCCAGGACGGAGAACGTGGAGTATGAAGATGGGGTCATTGACGCGCTGAACAAGGTTTCCGAAGGGGATTTAAGGAAGGCCATCACCTACTTGCAGTCTGCGGCTAGACTGCATAATCCGATCATTCAGCCTAAACCTAAGAAGGTTGACGATGAGGGAGATGAGGAGATGGAGTGTGAGGAGGACGATGACGATGAGGACGACTCCAAACTTGCCCTGGACAGCAAGAAGATCACCGTCAAGTCCATCCAAGAAATTGCAGGAGTAATACCCGGCCAGACAATCGACAACCTACTAGAAGCATGCAAGCCCAAGAAGGGAAAAAGCACATACCCTGAGATCTCAAGGCTAGTTCAGGACATTGTCGCAGATGGCTGGAGCGCCGGGCAGGTAGTTTTGCAGGTATTATTATATTCCCGATCTCCCCAATGGGACGAAGTGAAGCTAACAGCGCTTTGAAGTTATACAACAAGCTCGTATTTGACGACGTAGTCACCGCCGTGCAGAAGAACGATATTGTCCTCATATTCTCTGAGGTGGATAAGCGTTTGGTGGATGGGTCCGACGAGCACTTGCAGGTCTTGGATCTTGCATTGAGGATCTCAGAGGTATTAGCTAAGGGTTAGCCAGCTTTATAGTTAGACAGACTCAACGGAATTTGGTGGGGTTTGCTGTGATATAGGTTTTTACGATTGCAATTTAGAGATGTGGTGGCTACCTTGTCTACGAGATAATAAGCATGGCTATGAATTTTCTGCTTTTTCTGCTCACCCTTTTGGGGCGGCGATTTGGGGACAGTGTGACGCGCTGTGGGTCCTCAGCATAAGGATTATTTGGGACTTTTTTTTTTTCCTTCTCTCAAAAATAAATTCATGATTGCTCCGCATTGTGCCTGCTAATCAGGCCTCTATAGTTTCCTGCCATTTTATGCACTCACCGTAAGCAATCCCCAGTGCAAGAACAAGAAGCATTTATAGTCAACAAAGCAAGGAAGAATGTATGAGGAAAAAAATCTATCGTCCCACGGCTTTTTATCTCTATTTTATACAACTCCCGTATATCTATCTACCCAACCTGTCAACGTGTATAGACAGACAGAAGCTCTCAAGATTAAGATTCAATAACCTGCGCCCCCTCGTACGCCGGCTCAAGCAACTCATATCTACAGGTGATACCCTCCCGCTTGAACCTAGTCATGATCATCTCGGCGATATGTTCAAAATTGTGGGTCGCCAACGCCAATATCGTAGGCCCTGCGCCGGACAGGCAGATTCCCAAAAGGCCCGGGTGGGATTGGGGGGTTACGGAGGCGAGGATTTCTGGGAGCCCTGGGATCTAGAGGGGTTGCTCAGAATACTGGGGTATGTGAAAAGGAAAGGTGGGGGTGGGGGAGGGGTACAAGGTGCTTGCGATACGGCTGATGAACTTTATCTTGCATTGCTTGATAGATCAACTCTGCGTCTGGAGGGGAGCGGGTTAATGCAGTGGTTAGGACTGCGAGCCTTTGCAGGTTGAATATCTATTCCTCCAATCAGCACCACCCCGCTTTGCCCCAAGTATCAGTTATAGGGTAGGGGACAAACCATGTCCTTCTTAGAATAAGCCTCCGGTAACACCCCTCTAGCCGTGGCAGTGGAGACCTCAAAATCCGGAATGATAGCAACAGCTTTAACCTCCTTCGCCCAGCCAAACTTGATATAGTGCCCAATCCCGAGGGGAGGCTCGGGGGGCCTCAACCCAGTATCCACACCGCCCGCCGGTTCCGGCAACACTTCCGCAAGCGGGATCTCCTTCCTCTCCATATCGGCGGGATCCAGCTCCCTGAGATAACTACCCACGAACCCGCCCATCATGGCCGCCATGACGTTATCCGGGTGCCGCTCGATCATGAGGCAATAGTCCGTCATGCGGTCCCTGCTAAGATCCAATTTGCCGACGGAGTTGGCGAGGAGGACTCCCGCTACAACTGCAGCGCCAGAAGAGCCCAGGCCGCGGCCAAGAGGGATGGGGTTGACGATGTGGACGTGTGTGGTGGGCGGGAACGTGCGTTGGCCGTGGCATTTGAGGACGTATAGTGCCGTGCGGGTTATGAGATTTGCGTCGGCATCTAGCGGAACATGAGAGGCTCCTTCGCCCTCGTAGGTGATTTTGCAGTTTAGGGTGTGAGTGGAGGTGGTTGTATCAACCGTGGTAACGATGCTGACTCGGAGAGTCAGCCAGATGGAGAGTGAGAGCCCAACAACGTCGAAGCCGGGACCTGTGGCCGGTTACCGGTATTAGCCAGGGTGTTTGCCGTGCGCAATTGTGGAGTTGGATGGTAAAGATATTGGGAACAAACCAATGTTTGCGGAAGAACAGGGGACCTCTGTGTTAAATATCGGTTATTTATCCACCTTTTATTTTTTTATGCTCGTAGAGTGTCGGGGCTCACAGGGTAGCACGGAAACTTACTGATTGTAATCATTTCTGTAAATCTTTTCTTTAGTCCCTCTATCACTGGTAAGCTCGGCGTGATGGGAGCGCAGATGTTCCTGAGCCCCTGTATTGAAGAGTTTCAAGGAGGAAGGGGTGGACCAGAGCGAAAGGGAGAAAAGAAGGAAATTATCTAGACTATAAGTTTGTTTGGCTGCTTTTCTGGTCGGAGCGCGAGGTGGGGGGGCGTCAGCGGCGGGACTTGAAATTTTGTTTGGAAGGGGCCGAGGGTCTGTTTACCTAACCGTTCCGTATTATAGAATTCGACTACCCCGCCAGCCCAGAGTTTTATTACAACAGACGGTGCCAACTGTGTTTACCTAATTTTCAACGGTCAAAATTTTTTGGTCAAAACTAGATGCAGCTCCTTGGGTGCGGTAGCAATGCCGTCAACCTCAAACATTGATCCATCGTCACTATGCCTGGGGCCTGTCATACCCGCAATCGCCATACCACCACCGGCAATCAGCTCCGCTTTCTTTGCACTGATGTCAACCATGAGAAGAGGTAGAAAGAGTATTCCACTTGCAAGGGGCCATTGTAGGTGGTACTCGGAAGATGCTGTAGTTGGGTTCGAGATTTTAACTGGTCGGAAATGATAGAAAGGGAGAGGAAGTTGGGGGTTGAGAGTTGGGAGTTCAAAGCTCTCACATCGTGTCATGTTGTGAAATTTTGGATTCATGCTAGGAGGGTGTGGTGGACAGTGTGCGGTAGACGGTGCACTTGATGGCAACTTGATGGCACAGTAGGTAAACATGGATGAGAATTCAGCCCCTGACGCTACCGGCCGTTAAGACCCCCTTGACGGCGGTGGGCGCTGTCAACGTGCACTAGACGGCCGTGTGTATTGTAGGTAAACGGGCCCTGAGTCGTGCCCGGGCTCTTAGCTCCGAGCTTGATTGAACCGCTTGTGTGATGCCATTTCGCAAAGACGGTTATGTATGCGGGAATCTGATGCACATCAAACGGCTTGCTAATCCCCCCTCTTGACCTCACTTACGATTTATTGTCTGCGAACCCCCTGGTATAGGTTTGTGTTGGCGTTTTCACTGGGTAATTGAGAGTAGATTCAAACGCATCATCCCCCCCCCCATCATACCCCCTCACTCGTCACCCATTGTCGGCTGAGCTTTTTATACTTGCCCATCCTGAGGTGCCATACTCCTACAAGGCCTTTGAAACTCAATTTTATTGAAGAGGTGTTCCGCTCGCGGCTTATCCCAAACGCCCATGGTATTCTAATTTGTTGCAACATACTTCCCACACCTTTGTCCAGAGAAATAAGAGTAATATACAGCACGTTCGCCCCAATGCCAATATTGGAAACCTCAACTCAACGATCCCTAAACCTTGCAGTGAAGTGGGCCGCCACCAGAGTGGCCATTCCTCCAATGCCCATACAGACCGCAATGGCGTTTACCCCATAGGTAGGCGCCTCCGCACTTCCTCCCTCGGAGAACTCCGGGCTTTTTCCCGGCTCAAGAATGGAGAATACAACGAAAGATATGAAAGAACCCAGAAATTGGGGAAGACATGAAAACACATTTATGATTCCAAGGCTATGTTCTGTTAGTGCTTGGTAGGCTGGCAATGGTACTATGCAGAAGAGGTAACTCACTATACACCCGCAAGGTCACTTGACTCATGTGACTGGGCCTCTGGATCGGTAACCGTTGGAGTGGGGCTAGCGGAGATCGAAGGTCCGATCATTTCCATTTCTTGGACATCATGATTAAACTCATTTTGTGCAACAGGGTCGTAGACGCCACCGCCAGAGAGGTGCGCCGTCCCGGAAGGCTCACTGAGCTTGTTGATTTCTTCACCTACAATGCTGAAAGGTGCCTATTGGGAGATGTCAGTACGAAAACTAGAGTCAGACACTTTTGTCCCAATTACCCAGGTCATCAGTGCCCAAGACCTAGAGATTTATCAGAAAAAGTTTGCCAGGATAGGGGATAGAACACTGGATGACCCACACTCCACTAAGGGCGACACAGAATGTTGCAGAGCTCACTGTCCCAACAAATATCGTTGTGAGCATGAGAAATGCGTAGGCAATATGACTAAATATCCATGTGTTGGCTAGGTTGGGCTTATAAGGCGCAATCCTTTTGGAGAACCGTTCCAAAGAGCTCGCTGGCACGGGATGCCTTTTGACATGCTCTCTTGACTCTGGCGAGTCTACCACCCACGGTAATAGAACTGAGGCGGCCAGAGACACACAGGAGAATAGAACCAATGCCATACTCCCCACTCTGGCAATGTCGCCAAGAAGGTCGTCAGAGGTCTCAAGGTTTTCCCGGGCGACTGTGTCGTAGCGTTTAAGAACCTCGGCCACGAATGTCGTGCTATAAACCATGAATGGAAACCAGCCTTCGGGGATATCAGCTTATGCGCATTCAAGCCCCATCGTTCTGCGCACTGTGCATAGTAGGGCTGGCTTACCTATCCAGGCCCAGAAAAGAACCACACACATATCCCATATCCCAGTCGGGAGATGCCACATTGTCTTCCAGATGAGGGCCAAAACGTGAAACGCACCCGAACCCTCATCAGATTTCCTGTGGGTTCATAGTCAGCGCCACAAAATTAAGTTTCCATGATTAGTATACCTTGGAGTTAGGAGCACTCGCTCTTCTACGGAGAGGCAAGTTATGAGAATGCAGAACATGAGTGAAATAGATGCAAGCACCATCAGCTGCTTGAACTGTGTATCGCCGATAGTAGTACCAAAGATTGACATGAGGTCAATTGTGCCCCTAAAAATCTTAGCTTCTCGAAGGCAACTAATTTTGCAGGTTTCTGCGTACGCAAAGTAACCTGCAATATTTCCCACAGCAATCATCCTACTAGCTATTATATTGTCAGCTTTGGCGATACCAGAATTGGCTCAAGGGCGTACCCCAAGCACTTCCGTGCTGTTGTCGAGGAAAAGGCAGGGTATCGACGATGAGAGCTCTGCAACAAGCCTGGACTATAAATAGCGATTACCACCGGTGTCTCATGTTAGCAACGGAAGATAGCCTACCAGCATTAATAGCAAAATCCACTAAATATATCAATAGAATCGCAAGGAGAATCGTGCACGTATTTGCCTGCTGTCTATTAGTTCCTCTCCACGCACCAGCAACCGACAAATTCGGCGTAACCGGAGACGAACCGTTTCCCCGGGCGAGAAGAATAGCCCGACAATCTCCTTTGTCCAACCTAGTGAAATTAACGCCATTGCAACAGCGGCAGCTCCAACCATCATGACCGGGCGTCTCCTGCCTGTTTTGCCCAATCAGCATTTAGCCAGTTCCGCAAAGGTCCCAGACCATACCAAAACGTGAGCGAGACCTGTCCGCAATAACGCCAACAACCGGCTGGGTTATCAGGCCTGACAAAGGGCCAATGTTCCATACCAGGCTCATCAGCGATTTGGTGAGACCAAGCGATAGCAGATAAGGCGAGCAGTCTGGAACAAGACGTGGAATTCAGCAAACTTCCAAAAGTGTAGGAGCAGTCGCCGGGTGCATACAGGCCATTTCGATTCCCCACACAAGCTACATGTTCCAGCACGGTTAGCACCTAAACCTCAATTACAGGAGAGAGACGGTTCCATTTTCGCCGAATGTCAAACCGGGGAACGCTACCTGAACTCCTGAAAGACTAGGAAGGGTGGGTGATGCGTCAGCACAGCTCGCAACGCATTTTGTGGGTTTCCGGAAGTCCATGCACCCCGGTGATCGCAAAAGGGGTTCACGTTATAGTAGGCAAACGAACCACACAGTCAACAACACCATGCGAACCGGGTCCGATGGGCCTCTAATCTTTGGGGTACCCGCCCATGTCGCCGCCATAAACCTAAAATCGGAGAATTGCTATTCGCGTGGAGGGGCTGTGACCGCCGCGATGACCTCGGTGCTAGGCTTTAGAGCTCCCACGAGGGCGGTGGATAGTGGTATCGATGGGCTTATATCGGGGATGCGTCCGTTTGAGGACACTCCCCAATCCTTCGAAAGGAAAGAAGAAAAGAAAAGAAAAGAAAAAAAAGAGAGAGGGGGGGAGAGCGTATGCTAAAGGAGAGAGGGAGAGGTGGAGAAATTTGTTTATTGTCACTATCTCGAAGGACGCGCCAGTAGGTGGAACTCTGTTGATAGATTGTGGTCAGGGATGAAGTAGCAAAGGATGTCCGGAACTCTATCCTACCCACGGGACGAGCACCGTAGCTGTGCAGCCAAACATGATAAATTCCCCCCTGAGCTCAACCATGTGCTACCATACATACCTCAAGAACTGTATTAGCGGTGGCGGCGTCATCCCCTGCCGGTAGTCTGCCAAGAAATGTCAATGGTAGCCAATACCTTACTAATGATACTCTGTGAATGGTGCTTCACAGCAACTTAGAATATCAAGTACGATCATACAGTACCGTGCCAGAGCACCGTACCAGTACTCGTACAGTACAGCACTGCGCTCGAGCACATCTAAACACTCTTAGGGCTAGGCATCTCTCTGTCATGGGGCGGGCTTTACTGAGCGCTTCAGTGTTGGTATCACGCTCTTCAACTGCTCGAGCACTAATAGCCCCTAATCTAACTTCCAAACCGGCCTGTCAGGTTAATCCGGATGCAATTGCGACGTTCAAAGTACAATTGCCGTTCAAATGGAAGAGTGAAAAAAAGACCCTCCAACATAAAGCCGTAGTAGGAAAGGCACAAATGAAAAACCGGAAAAAAAAGAAAGCAAAAAAAGAGAAAAAAGGAAATAAAGGAAAAAGAAACAAATGTGGTAATTTCTAACATTGAAAATTGGTGGTTCGGCCAAGTCGCTGTGATCCAAAAAAGAAATAACACTCATGCCACGAAATTCACGGTCAAGATGTGGCAAGGTTCCTGGAAGTTTTGCGGAAGGTTTTAGAAGCCATCGCATCGGGAAAGGAAAGGCCCCTGGCTAGAGCTTATGAGGAGCACTGCTCTGTACAGGCCACTGGTACCCTCCAAGATCATTAAACTTATATCCGTAAGATGCTGTGAAATCATCTAAAACCGCCGGTCCACGCGAGCCTATCACACAAGTTAGATCATGCGTTAAATTTTGGAGCGCATCAAGGCCTACCGTATGGGTATTCCATTGGAATAATCTCTTTGTTCTCGTCGAGGTAATGCAACAGAGGAGTGAAAATTCTCCAACTCGCGTCCAATTCATCATCGCGGACAAAGTTGGAGTGGTCGCCCTTCAGAGCGTCGAGAATAAGCGCCTCATACGCCTCTGGGATTTTGAGATCACTGAAACGGCGTCTATAGGTGAGATCAAGCTCGGTGACCGCAGTCTGCATACTCAGCCCAGGCAGCTTCGAATTCATTTTAATGTAGACACTCTCGTTGGGCTGGACACGAATGACAAGCTCATTGCGAGGAATGTCCTTGAAGATACCGCTAGTGACGTCCTTGAACTGGATTCTTATTTCAGTCTTCTGCTCGTTCAAAGCTATTTAGAAAGGATACATCAGCGGGAATTCGCAAACTACACGCTACAGAGGATTTTGATGGTCACCTTTCCCAGCCTTTAGGATAAATGGAACGCCGTCCCATCTCTCGTTCTTGATATAGACAGCCAGGGCACAGAAAGTTGGACATCTGCTGTCCTTAGGAACAGTGTCATCATCCAGATATCCCGGCTTGCTACCGTCAAGAGATTTTCCGTATTGGCCAATGATGACATTCTTGGGCTCAATAGCCGGAATTCCTCGAAGGACTCGGACCTGTAAAATCGGTTAGTAGCTATATCTCAAAGGCGAAAGGCGTTCTTCCTCCTTACCTTTTCATCACGGATATCTTCAGCGGAAAACGAAATCGGGCGTTCCATCCCAATAATAGTCAACACCTGGAGAAGATCTGATAAGGGTCAGGTAGTGATAGGGCACTCGTATCGATAGGGGACAAACGGTTCTGCATCACATCGCGAATAATGCCAAAATCATCGAAGTAACCTCCACGCCCTTCTGTTCCAAAGGGCTCCTTGAAAGTGATCTAGTCAAAGAATAGATATTAATCCCGTTATCCAAGACCACAGACCTTTTCGGCGCAACGTACCTGAATGTTGTCGATATGGTTTCTATTCCACGTAGCGCCAAAGAACTCGTTACCAAATCTCAAAATGAGCAAATTTTTAACCATCTCCTTCCCAAGGTAATGGTCGATGCGGAAAATCTCCTCCTCCTTCCAGTCAGGCTCGAGAGACTTCTGGAGGTCCCTGGAGCTCTGCAAATCTTTACCAAACGGTTTCTCAACCTATCGAAATCATGAGTCCATTTCCAATCACCAAGTCTGTTCGGGCTTATCCAGGCCTTACAATAAGTCTCGCAATTCCCCTATCCGGATAGCAGTTCTTCTTCAAGTGCTGAGAGACGGTTGTGAAAACACTCGGGGGCAATGCCATGTAGAAGATACGATGATTCTCCGGACGCCCTGCCTCGAGGTCGTCGAGGTGTTCACGGAGCCGCATGAAAGATTCGTCCTGGTCGTACAGACCAGAGACGTAGGAACACTTTTTCAAGAAGGTTTCCAGCTGCTCCTCCATCTCCTTAGTGGGAGTCTTGATGTACGACTTGACTCGAGAAAGGTATTCCTTCCCGTCCATTTTCGTTCTCGCATATCCGACTATCTTACAGTCTTGTGGAAGGAAGTTGTTTCTGTGCTGCTCGACGAATCAGCGCTCAATAAGCCCACCCCCGCGTGACAAAGGAGGAGAAATAAGAAAAGAGAGAGACCAACCAAACCAAAGAGAGCGGGAAACTGTGATATATTGTTAGTTTTCATCCCAATTCCTCGACTTCATTCGGACATGTTCTTACAGTCTTCTTCTTCGCCAAGTCACCGGATGCACCGAGGACAATGATCGTGGTGTTCTTTTTGAGTTCGACAGTGCTGTGATGTTATCAGCTCCGATGCCCCACCACCCATCCCGTCCCGCATGAGTGCTCCCAGAGTGGTATGTTTCCCCTCGTGGGTGAGAAGGCAGTGCGATTGGCTTTTCGCACCAAGAAAACACCCGAAGGAAATACCCAAAAGGGCAGACAAGCAGCAAAAATACCGAGCGATGACGAAAGCAGAGGAGAAACTCACCCAGGGTTAGCCCCGCTGTCGGATTGAATGATAGTGTCCGCCATGTTTTGTCAAGCCCCGCTTAGCGAAATACGATGCTTGAAGGTATCGTGGGGTTTGTTTTTCTATCTGTAGCCTCAGGAGATTCACCGAGTTGGCGGAAGGAGTAGCGTTGGTGAATGAGGGAAAGGATGAAACGGAGGAATGGGGGATGGGGGGGGGGGGGAGAAGAGGGGTTGGAAAGAGGTTTGGGGTCGGTGGGGCAAACTAAAATACTCTGAGCCTCTCTCTGGGTCCTTGGGCTACGCATTTGTATACTCCAGTTGCATTAGGTCAGTACAGTACCGCCATTCACAGACTCCGGCCCTTCACCGCTGCCGGAGGTGTAGCTAACAGCAAGGAACCTCTTTATATATATATTATATACATTTACTTTATTTCCCCCTTCTTTCCCCGATCGGCTACGAAGCCCGGAACTGGGTATTGGGGTCTCCTTTGGCAGGCGAAGACGACCCAGGATTGTTCCCTTTCAACCTTATGAAGCTGCCCATGGAACCAACTGCGAAGCTGAGCGCATCAATACGATATCCCCAGTTGTTTTCCCTTCCCTTTCTTTCTTTCTTTCTTTCTTTCTTTCTTTCTTTCCTTCTTTCCTTCTTTCTTTCTTTCTTTCTTTCTTTTTCTTTTTCTTTTTCTTTTTTCCACCGCTCAACACCCAACCACTCCTCCTCCTCGTCCCCTGCCTTATGCTCCAACAGGATCCCGTTAGAATACGATACACTCAGTGCCCAGCTGGCCGGCCAAAAGTGTTACAAGTTCTAGACTCGTAATGGGGGCAGTAATCATTACCATACTATTCTCCATCCCTTCAAGATACAGTGTTCCATAATATGCTAGGCTACTAATAGTATAACTTGCGTCCCACCTCGCGCATCATCACCTATTCCAATAAGATGTCAGGCCTTTGGGCAGTCTGCCCCAAGTGAATTGATGTTCCCAGCTTCGGTTCCCCCATCCCTTGAACGGAGCGGTGAGAGTTTACAGTGAATGAAGGGAGATATGGGTGGAAGGCTCTCATTCACCAACCCTATACTCGGGTACTGCACTCGAGCAGAGGCTACTCGAAGGCTATGTTAGGGATCATACTGTCAATCCCTCTCTTCCTCCCGCTTTGTGGTCTTGTCTGTTCCCATCACCCTAGTGAAACAGCATAATATCATGCAAAATAGCTGTCCCCAGCAAGGGTGAAGCCTGCAGTCGAACTCCTTCCAGAACACACATCCCAGTTACCTTCACCCTGCTGCCCCAAAATGCATCCCGGCTCAACCATCGACTTCTCCCCCCTGGGGTTACGGTCCCATGATAATCAGAAAGAGAAGGAATGACGTTCAGATTATTTGGCGATGATGAAACCACCCTCTACGGGCGACTTTTGACGTGGACGAATGCCATGATTTCGCAGGACATATACAGTACGAGTACAGGAGGGCTCCGACATGCTTGTGGTGGCTGTCCGGTGCCCAGATGTCCTCCTGATTCCGACTTAGTCTGCAACGAGGAACCCGAAGACACAACATTCACGGTGGGAGTTGATAATGCGAGAAGCCACGATCCCCCCCTCCCCTTCCCCCTCCCATCCCAGACATTATCTTCCCTAGATATAGCCCTTTGCATTGCATCGGCATCTACCCAGAAATCCCACACTATAACTTGCCAGGACGGAGCGAGGGCTTGCAAGCGATGGGTTTGTAATAAATTGATGTACAGGAATGACGATGGTGGGGGCATGCTGCGACAAAAAGGCTAAATTCAAAGGGCGTTGGGTACGAGTACGGCAATGTGGGTTGGGCACCTTCTTTCTTTCCTTTTTTTTTGCACCTTTTGCTCGGATAAGTATGATCACCCAATGGAAGCATTCTTACATGACCATTGGTCCTGGCCATCGCGGTTTCAATGTAATCAGCAACCCTCACTGCCGTTATCACATCCCCCTTCCGGATTGCTGGTTGGCTATTCGCTATTCCAGCGGTTCCGGTTTTCTGTTTGCTGCAAGGCACTCCGAGGAAAAGGGCTTTATAAGAATGAGGCAAACGGTGCTGGTAAAAAGGAAACGGTACCGCACCCGACGTTCGACTTTATCACCTTTTCCCAGTATTGTTGTCTCCCCAGCTGCCGGTTCTCGCAACCCTATCCGAGAAGATATATTGTCGGACCCGATCGTATCATAGGGAAACTTTGTCAGGGTACCGTATGCACCACCTTAGGAACTGTCTACGGTACGAGTATATATCGGCAGTTTCAGGTTCCACCCGGAGAAGATATCCAGGCACCTAACGTTCCGAGAATCCCGTTCAGCAGGACGCGCAGTAAATTAAGAACCTTCCACCTATCGAACCCACTGGATCCTAATAGCGTGGCGGTTAGTTCAGCAGCCCCCCCCCCCCCCCAAAAAAAAAAGTATGGTATCATACTCGAGTACCAGTCGTATCACAGGTTCCGGCCGGGCGGGCTGCGGGTAAGCGTAGAGTTATGGATACCCACATGGAATTCCCGGGTGTGCTTCTAATGTGGAGTGGATCCCGCTCACGGAATCAACCAAACCCTCACCCTCGCACCGAATTTCGGCCTTCCCTCGGTTCCGTGCCTGATCTACCGCGCAACTGTAAGTCACCAGCAGCCCGGCGGGATAGGTGCGGAAAAATATCGGGCCGACTAGTTTGCAATGCCAATAAAGACGATCTCCCTGATGGCCTCACTCGTAGACTACGGTTCCGCACACCCTGCGGAAACCGTTGTGGCATCATACCGATACTGATATTGGCGAGCCACGACACAAGTACTGTATCATACTCGTACTCGTGCCACGATGGACAGGATTAGTCAGAATTCTTGTGGGATGGTCAAGGTGAGAGCCCCCACTGTGCGAACACAATGCGGTGAGAGATCGTGATGTCAGGATGGCCGTCCGAAAGCGGTACGTATCCTACGGTACTTGTGCTGTACTGTACTCGTAGAGTACGAGTATGATACGATACCGGTATGATACTCGTAGAGGAAGAGCCTCAAGTTAATCCAAGCTTCTGCTCCTCCCCCCCAAGCCCCTGCTTGACAGTTATTTCTTGGCATTCGGGATATGCCGATTGGCAATCAGCTCCACGCGCGCGCTCTGAGCTCAGCCGTACGCTGCGCCTTTCTAGGCAATCCCCCCCCCACCTCTCAGCCTTCGGTCGTTACCCCCTCTCTCCCCTTCCTCTTCTTCCTGCTTTCTCCCCGCAAGTCCATTTCCCCTGCCCCTAACCTCATCCCCCGAACGACAAATCAAACCCCCGCAAAACAGACAGCCTCCATCCAGCAGAGGAAGATACACGGGCACTGCTGGCGCAGGCACACATCTCCGGCCCGACTACGCTCAAAGTTTGCTGTGCTCCAACCTGCGGTGACAACAAACATTTTCAACATGGACAATACTGCCTCAACTGCAGCAATAGCCGAGCTTGAAGCCACCCCTCCAAGGAGCAAAGATGCAGCAACCAGCACCGAGCCCAAGGACGATGTCAAAGTCATGGTGGCAGGTAGCACCGAGCATGAGGGCCTCAAGCTCCTTTCAGGAACAGAAAAGTCTGGGGCAAACACGCAAATCCCGGAGGTACATATTATAACACCGGGTCACAGGTTACAACTGCGACTAACAGGATGACCTTCGATGCAGGAAGTCAGGAAAGCCAAAATGAAGAATCCAGCAGTTCTAGTCAACGTAAGTAGTTCCCCTGTACCAATGCTATCGATCAAGCTGACAAACAAACGACAGCTCCCGTCATCGCCCTCGGCTCAGGTATGTCTTCGTCCACCAGATTGATGAATCTCTCACACCTTGGTCCGACTGATAATTCATCACCGGTTTAGGCCTACGAGGTCACCCAGCGAGCCAAACCAGACGATGGATATTTCGAGCCCGCCTTCAACGAGGCAGAGGAGACAGCCGCAGCAGAGGCAGCGCTCAAGAAAAGTCCATGATCCCAAGACAGCATGTTTGAAAAATTCATAAAGTTATTCACGGCGGCGATGGAGTTATATTCTCTTATACCAAGTGAGCTCAGCCACGGTTACTTAGTCATGTCCTCCTGTGTCTGTTCCCTGCCTTTGAAACTCTTGAGGATTTCCGGAAATATGATCCGGGCGAATAGGTTGAGGTGCGGAGCTCTGGCTTTGATATTGTATTTGGTGCGATTTTTTTTACCTTTTGGGTGAGTAGCGGTTTTGAATTTAAACGGCATTGAATGCTTCCCCGGCGTGGCTGTTTGTTCCGATTATTGCGGGGTTGGTCTACAGTGTAAACGTGAGTTATGGCCGGGGTCAGGTTCCCCGGCGGAGGGTCTGAGATTACTGTTAAGTTTAACGGCGAATTTAGCCAGCGCTGCACATAGAAGTAGAGAAGCTCGAAGCTCGTGAAAAGCGATAGCAACCCCACAAAAAGCAACCACCGCAAAACGAGTTACCGACCCCTGCCAGGAGGAAACAGCGGGGCAATCGCGATAATGCTCGAGCGAATTACCATTCACCACAAATCACTTGGACCCTGTTTCCTCTCCACTTTTTTCCCAGCTGTGACATCACATAAACAATGAATCCCTAGCCCATCTGAACAAATGATATTTGAGCAGCTCCCGGAGAGCTCAGAGCTCGCCTGGACCTTAACTGGATAAGTTGAAAACCCTCCCAACGCCCCGCTAGGGTAATTTTTCCTGAGCTTTAGTAAAACCCTGCCCCGCACGGGTTAGGGTTCCCGGCAGTTGCCAAGACCCCTTCTCAAGCGGTTCCAAGAGTTTACCAAAAAAAAAAAAAAACCGGCGAGAAAAGAACCTTATTGCCAATGCTGTATCAACCTCCTCTCCCTATCATACCTTCCCCCGCCACCACCACCACCACCAACCGACCCCCCTCTACAAACAAGTATCCCATAACTTCACCGGCGGGGGGGGAAAGAAAAAAGGAAAGAAGAGAAGGCCAGCACAGCAAATCACCCAATTGAACCCCCTCGGGTCGGATAAAGTAGAAATAAGCCTAGCAAAAACTAGGGCACCATGTCCCTAAAGGTCACCCAACAGAACGGTATCTCGGTGTACACAGTCTCGGGCAGCCAGGCGATCCGTTCGCTGCCGGACTGGCTCGCACGCAAGCGCAAGCACAGCCTGCGCTCCGACGCCGCCTACAACTCCCGCATCGAGCTGATCCAGGACTTCGAGTTCGAGGAGGCGAGCCAGTGCGTGCGCGTGAGCCCGGACGGGGAGTACGCAATGGCGACGGGGACGTACAAGCCGCAGCAGCGTGTCTACCACCTGCCGTCGTCAGCGCTCAAGTATTCTCGCCACACTGGGTCGCTGAATTTGAAGTTTATGCTTCTGTCGACCGATTACACCAAGAGTCTGCACTTGCAGACCGACCGATCGCTAGAGTTCCACACTGCCATGGGGTGCCACCACGTCACCAGGATTCCGAGGTATGGGAGGGATCTGGCGTACTTGAAGCCCGCGGCGCATGTTGTCATTGCGGCCGAGGGGCGGGAGGTTTACAGGTTGGATCTGGAGGCGGGGAGGTTTTTGAAGCCGTTTGGTGTGGGGGGGTATGATGGGGGCGCTGCTGATGGCAGTGGGGATGTGGGGTCGGTGGAGTGTGTTGGAGTTGCGGATGGTTCGCATGGGCTTTTGGCATTCGGGACCGATGTGGGCACGACCGAGTTCTGGGATCCGAGGAGTCGAAATCGAGTCGGCCTTCTCGGACCTCCTGCCTCTGCTGCCGCTTCATACGATGTCTTTGGTCAGCCAGTGAGGTCCGGCGTCACGGCTTTGGAATTCAACCCCTCTGGCCTAACACTGGCTGCTGGCAACTCCGTAGGGATAACAACCCTCTACGACATCCGCTCCCCAAACCCCCTCCTAAGCAAAGACCAAGGCTACGGTTTCCCCATCAAAACCCTAAAATTCCTGCACTCCCCCTCCTCCTCCAATTCCAACACCCGGGGTGTAGAGACTGCCTACGAAACAACCTCCACCCCAAAAGTCCTCTCAGCCGACAAGCGCATTATCAAGATTTGGGACCAGGCGAGCGGGAAACCATGGACATCCATCGAACCCTCGGTGGACATAAACGACGTCTGCGTGGTTCCCAGCTCGGGCATGCTCTTCACCGCCAACGAAGGTCGGGAGATGCACTCATTCCTCATACCAGCGCTCGGCCCATCACCCTGGTGGTGCGCGCATTTAGACACGCAAATCGAGCAACTCGCGGACAAGCACATCAACGATCCAGACGCCTACATCACCGATACCGCAGGCACCGGTGAGGAAGTGGTGACGTACGACAACTACAAATTCCTAACAAAGGCCGAACTGAAGCAACTGAACCTCGACCACCTCCTCGGCGGCGGCCACACCACCACCACCGATCGAGGGAAGAAGACTGCTTCCGGAGGAAGCCTGGTTAGACCATACATGCACGGCTACTTTGTCGACCAAAGACTCTACGACGAAGCACGACTAATCGCCGATCCATTCGAATGGGAGCGCGAGAGGAAACGCATGGTAGCAGAAAAGATAGAGAAGCAACGAGAGAGCCGGATCCGCTCCAGCCGCCCCGCTGCGAAAGTCAAGATCAACAAGCGGCTAGCAGAGCGATTGGCAGCGCTGGAAGGAAAGCTAGCGAAAGCCAGTAGGGAAAAGGGTGAAGAGGGAGAGGAAGATGGAGAGGGCGATAGAGAGGGAAATGTACTAAAGGACACACGCTTCACCCGCCTCTTCCAAAATCCAGAGTTTGAAGTAGACGAGACATCACTAGAGTTCCGACAATTAAACCCTAGCACTAACCCCCCCCCTCTTCCCCACACCCGTAAAACGGCGGTGGAGGAAGAACAAGAATCCTCCTCCTCTTCTTCCGAGCCCGGGTCCGAGTCCGAAAAGGAAGACAAACAAAAGCAGCACAAGAAGCAGCCACAAATGCGCATCTCGACATCCTCCTACAAAAAGGCGAACCACGACACTCGAGGCTTCGCCCCTTCGTCTGCGCAAAAGAGGCGCAATCTCGATAGGTCGTTCGGCGAACAAGTCTCTTCTATCAAGGCTCGGCCGCGGGCGGAGAGGGCTGGGAAGAAGGTCGTTGGGGGCAGGGGAGTGGTGGGGGAGAGGGAGGTTACATTCTTCGCCACGTCGGGGCGGAAAGGCGGCGGGCGAGGAGGGCGAGGGGGTGGAGGGGGAAGGCCCGCCGGTGAGAGGAGGAGTGCTAGTGGGAATGTATTCCGCCGGGAGGGGTTGGGCAGGTAGACTGGCCTTTGGCTTTGGCTCCGGTAGATGTGGTGGATGGGCGGTAGAAAAGTATCGACATATTGGTGGTGGGCGGAAAAGTCATGTTTCGCTCAGTAAATGTAATATTAGTTGGTTGGTTAGCTGGCCGAAGTAATGATCACTTATACAGTGCGGTACACCATCACAATAAACCGACACAAGTCCAAACATGGCTAAGTAAAGCCTTCGAGAGGAGACAACTACTTGGGCTACGTAGCAATTCTACCTACATCCCCCTTCCCCTCCTCATCCTCTCCATCCCCAAAAGAGCACAAACAAGGTCCAACCAAGAGACATAACCTCATAACTTCTAATCCAAACAATCCAATCCAGTTCAAATCCCGGGCCCGCACCAATCCATCACCTCCTTTCCCTCTTCCCATCCATCGCGACACTAAGGAAGTTATTAAGCCCAGCACCAAAACAGCTAATCAATGTCCAGCCCCCCCGACAGGTATCGCGAGAGGTATCCAGCCAAAGAGCAGTAGCACTAGTAACATCTGCCCTGGCGGTTAGAATGAGAAAGGGGGAGGAAAAAAAATAAAAATAAAAAAATAATACAGGGAATTAGGCCCCATTCGGGGAGTCATGGTGAATCACTAACCATGTTGGGGATAATGGTAAGGTAAGGTAGTAAGTGGAAAAAAGGAAACCAACCCATTAGAACAGGAATTTAAGATACGCACAAAATCAAGGACGGAAAAGAAAACAAAGTACGCCGGAAAAAAAGTGAAAAAAAGAAAAATTTAAACAGAAAACGGCTAAGCCAAAGTCCTCCGAAGAGAGGAAGAATGAATTGACTTTCGTTACTCGCAAAAAAAGAGTTCTATACCACTGGCGGGCCATTTCTCCCCAAATTCTGTCCAATACTACTAAACAGATGTGAAGGTGGTAATCGCTCCTGTATATCCGGAGATTGTCCTCCAGGCGAAGGCGTAGTTGGCATGGGGACGTATCCCTCGTTGCGGCGGCGAATGTATGAAGCTAGCACACCCAAGCAGACGAGTAAGAAGACAAGGCCGAGTGCAATGGCGAGGGAAATCAGGATCACGAAGCCTTTTGCTAGTTTTTTGCCTTGAATATTATTTTGTTAGTAAGTGATAAAAAGGGAATACAAGAGGGGATAGACTAACCTCCGGGTGAAAATTTCTGCTGTCTCTGAGAGAACAAGGAGACAATTGTTCCCGGTTGGTTGTCTGCTGTGGTGGTAAGGAATAGGGGCTTCCAGTTTGTCCCATCGAAGGTTGCGGCAGAGGCATTGCCAAAGTTGGGGAGATTAAGGGATCCCATGACGAGGAGGACTTGATCATCGTCGAGGAAGTCATTAGAATCATTACCGTTTTGGAGTTCAAGAACTTGGATGCTCCTAATGACGGTACTGTTCCCGAGACCAGCTATTACAGGACTTAGTAAATGGATAATGAAAACATATTTGGACAACATACCCAGAGCTTGAAACTTGCCATCACTCTTGAGCTTCATCACATAAGCAGCTCCGCCATTCGCACTGGTGCCAGAAATAAAGATAGAATCGATAGTATCGGCATTTACAGCAATGCTGGTAACAGGTCCAGGGATATTGGTAATGTCACCCTCAAAGGCGCGCCAACCACTAGCCTTGGCATCGTAGATCGCGAGATACGTAGCAGTATTATTGATACTCATATCACCCCCAACAAGCAAGGTGTTAACATCGACCCAGTACAGGACGTTAATTTGCCCGGAGACGTCAAGCCCAGGGGTCTCCCATTGCTGAGCAGTATTATCAAAGATGCAAAGGGCCGGGCAAGGAAGGGAACCGGCTTGGTCAAACTTCCCGGCAACATAGATCTCCCTCACATTACTGGGACGACGAGTGATCGCATGAACTTCCACGCCATTGGCGCCTATCATCTTTGTTAGTACAACCGCCCTTCAATATAGAGGAGGCAAATAGAGGAGGTAAAAGGATAATAACCTTGAAGCCCAACAGGTTGGTCCTTACTAGCGAACGACATTGTGGACATATCCCACGTAGCAATTCCATTAATATCGTTATCACCAACCTTGCCGGTGATCGAGCCGCCAATAAACAGCAATTGATCAACAAGAAGCATTGAGAGAACAAGACTAGAAGCATCAAGCGAATTTCCTATCCCAATGACAGAATTATTCGACGACTTGTTATCAATGAGTACGACATTGTTGACGGTTCCACCGTTACCCTGAGCAGAAAAGTGGCCGCCAAGGATAGTGTAGTTCTTGCCGTTGCCAAGATAGAATGCTCCAGTGACGACGCCTGTGAAATCCGAAGGAACGACAGCACGCTTCCTGTTAGCAGTGCCCTCCTGGTTGTTGACAAGCTGGATTGGGAGGGCCTGGACGTCGAGGTCGTCCTTGGAGCGAAGAGAAACGGCACCAGGCGCTGCGTCGGTCTGAGAAGACATGGAACCAGAATAGAGTATACTGCTGTTCGGAACATTGGTGGAAGCCGAAAGAATACCCCCGAGTGAGACACTCTCATTGGTCATTCGTTCCAACCATTGCTTTTCAGATGGAATCCAGACGGCAAACCCCTCCACATCCACAGCACCAGCGTTGGCACCGTCTGCTTTGATGGTGGTGAAATCACCACTGAGAGCAATCCCGTCCCTTGCTCCACGAGTAAGATTCAAAGAGATATGAACCAGCTCCCTGACACGACCATTAACACCAGTCCCCAATCCACCCCATTCCTTCGTCTTGGTATTATAACTAGCAACAAAACCTAAGCCAGTTGTGGGGCTAGAATTAGTGTTTTGAAATTGGCCACCAACATATAGGAGATCTCCTCCTAACAGCAGAGCGTTGACCGGCGCATCCAAACCACCCCTAGTTACAGAAGCAACACCGCCAGGGCCAATAGTGAAGATATGTTGAAAGCTATCATCCTTTGCTGAGAATTCACCAGCCACGTAAAGGGTGTCATCCTTGGCAACAACTGCCCTAACCTTAGCACCGGTACGCAATCGGCTTCCAGCCGTACTAATGACCGATTTAGCAACATCGGAAGCCTTCGGGACATCGGTCTGCTTAGGATCAAACTCATAAAGACCGTTCAGCTCCAAAGAGCTAGAATCAGAGTCGTCCTCACTTGTCCCAATACGTGTCGAGTTGCTGAACATCACGAACTGAACCTTCTGAGCAACTATATTGACAACCGGGAATGATTGACTAGCAGTAGGAGTGAGAGTGACCCTAGGACGGAAGGTATCATCGGCGGCATCAACAAATCCTCTGTACACAGTGTCATATTTAGCGTAATCGTTAGTCTGATAGTAGGGCGGCGCCGGCTGAGGAGCCCCAGTCTTAGTATAAGTTCCAGTGACATTGACTTGGCCTCTGGCAGTACAGCTGCTGTCTTGTCGGCAACCTGGCGTGTACATGAGCACAACATACTCCCCAGACTGCTGAATATGCGGCTCAAAAACAACAGAAGCGGTCCCTAACTGACTCATGTTAAGGTAAATGGAGAGGTACTCGGAGTCTGCGTCGAGGCCCATAGTTTCGATCCACCGCCCAGTGACAACAGAGTTAGACTTGGCAGGAGCAGCCACACATGATGGCTCGTTCAAATCCGACGACGCAAAAGAATAAATGTCTAAGAATACTCATCAATCCACATGTCAACGACCCGAGACGACAGCAACACAAGAAAAAACTCAACATACCATCTTGGAACAACTCAATACCAGCAAGCCCACCACCGGAACCGTAAAAATCAAGAATATCTACACGAATAGTGCTCATGGCAACATCGTTCACGAAAAAGAAGTCTTCAAACTCTGCCGTAGCAGATAGAGGGCACCAAGCATCACAGTGCATGGATGTGTTGGTTGTGGGATCAGTGTAGGTAAGGTTCATTATTCCGTTGATGGGGAGCGCTGTAACCCTGAAGAGTCTCGTTCCGCGACCTTCAAAGTTGGCGTTGCGTATCCTCAACTTGGTGGGCTTAAAAGAAAACTTGAACTTCGCGGACCAGGACCCCCTTTGCCCATCCCTCAACAACCACTGCTTCTCCTTCCCGGTCGGGCAGACAATGGCGGCGGGATCGTCAAAGTCGGTCAGGTCAGTAGTCTGCTCATCAGTAATACCCGCCGAGACTAGATTGATGGCTTGAGCATGTCTGACACGGGGACTCGAAGCATTAACAAGGTTGTTAAAGGCCCCACCAAACACAATGGTATTATTCGGAGATTTGGTGATTGTCTTGACTGGCTGATCAAATCCGTCAAACGGCAGGTCCGTCCACCCTGCCCCATCCACCCAAGCAATAGCATTACTAGAGTTCGAACCCATAAAATCTCCCCCAACGTAAACCGTGTTCGTCTCCTTATCGCAGAGCAAAGCCTGAACTTTCCCCACCAGCCCATCCAGGGCCGTCACCTTTCCATCCCGAGGATCAAACAAGGCCACGCCATTAACCGGCACATTTCCCAGGCTCGTGAAACTCCCACCAACAAATATACCCTTTACCGTCCCATCCTTCAACTGGTGCACACAGAGAGCCTGTATCGCGGCGTCAGCCGAGGCCAGCGACGTGAAGAGACCATTGGGAAGTTGTGACAATAAACTCTCGGACCCATTAGAAAAGGCCGACGACCCCGTTTGACCCAGGTACTCGTAGATGGAGATCGCATTGAAGTCACCCACGAGACCGACGTGACCGAGGCCGTCGAGGTTGAAGGATGGTTGTGGAACTGAAGTTACGTTTAAAGCACTCACAAACGCGGCGGATAGAGAGAGCACTCCCCATAGCCGCCGCGAGAGCGAAGAGGTCGGAGCAAGCAATGAGGGGGGCCTCATGCTTGTGCCAACCTTTAGAAAAGGAAGGAATTATAATCTCGTGGGATCCACGATGGCTATTGAGAGACCCTTTTCAGTGAGAAAAAAGAGTATTGGGTGTTCAAAGTTTCGAGGTTGGGTGGAGGAGGAGCTAAAGCTAGACAGACGGCTGAAGAAAAGAAGGAAAAAAAGGGAGTCACAGTAGGGTCGGGCGCGCGCGAGAGATGGGGGGGGTTCGGGTTGGGGATTTCGGGTGGCCGGCAAAAATGAGAGGTACTAATTGGATGCAGGAACCTAAATTCGAACGGTCAACTCGAAAACAAGCAACACAGTTGGGAACTACCCATCAGGAAGGGGTAAGAAATGGAATAGAAAGAAAAGAAAAAAACGGAAAAAGGTACACACGTCGTGTGGAAGTGATCGAGATGTATCAATCAGCTTTCACTAGGAAAAGAAAAGAAGAAGAAAAACCTCCCACCAAGCAAGAGCCAGCCAGGTCAGAGGGCTGGCAGCGAAAGAAAAATGAGAGAGGGAGAAGGTCACACCGCTGGTTAGGAGTGGTGGTGTTGTTTGTATGTATGCATTCGTTGGCCGGTTGGGAGGGAGAAAATGGAAAGGGAAGGGCAGGAATTGGAGGTCTCAGTTGGCAACTTGGGGGGGCTGCGTGGTGGCTGACCCAAACATGAGACCGTCCAAGATTGAAATCGGGAGGCACGAGGAAATCAGTCAAGGCTCGTACCTGTACTGTAGTAGTAGTACAATGCCGAACCGTTGAAGGTATGATACCGTAGGTAGAGAATTGCTAGAAAAGAGTGTGAAAAGGAAGGAGAAGGGGAAAAACAAAAGAGTGTAAAGAGTTCAACGGTCAATTGAACAAACAAACAGGGCGGTTGTCCAACACCCTGAACGAGTGACGAGAGAGTGTCTCCAAAGGAAAAAATAAAGGGGAGAAGGGGAAGCGGGGAGGGTTGGAGGAAAAAGAAAGAGTCCCTCAAGATTACAATTCCCTGGGACTGGAGCCACCGTAAGTGGACTAGACTAAGCTTTAGTCTACCTGTATAGTACGGTACAAGTACAGGTAGGTTCCTGACAGACGAATTGCTCGAGCACGCGGAAACAAAGCCCAGCAGTCTCGTCGTAACCCGCCACAATCTCCAGGCCAACAATACAAATCACGGCATCCGTACCAGGTACCAGCTACAGCACTCGAAAAGATATGGACAGATCGGTACCGGTACACGGCATCCCAGAGCGAGCCCGACCACACTCTCCCCCGAACCCGTCTCCTTTCCATCATGACCCGCTCCGGACGAAAGCAGCTCCCACCAACAAACACGCAAAACACCGGAGCGGTACGAGGGCTACCGTATACGGTATGCATTGTCCTGAGTACGGTCCCGGAGGTTCCGCACCCTACCGTATCATCCCATCCCATCCCCCCCTTTTCCAAACCAGCCGCCCTGAGGCTTCCTCACAGAGCAGCTCATCCCCCCCCCCCCAACCCCCAATCCAATGAAAACACCCTTACACCTCCCAACCAATAACCCTTACAGGGCGCTTACCATATCCATCCATCACCCCTGTAACTGGTGCATGCCAGGGGAGGTGGAGAAGGAATAAAAGAATAAATAAAACAGAAATCGGGAAAGGAAAGCATCAGCCCTCATCCGGTTAATTTTACAATCTCCGGACCGTTTCATTGATTCGTTGCGTGTAACGCTCGACGTTTCCGAGCTCGCGCGAGTCGGATTTCCCTTTTCTGATGGAGAGTGCGCGGGAATTTATTTCCCCTCGTGAATTCCAGGGATCCGATGCTGATGGGCAACAAAAGAACATTGCGAAGCAACCCCCTCATTTTTATTTTTACCTTTCCTCTCTACATTCAATTTTCGTGAATACATGTGCTCGAGTACAGTTTGAGCCCAGGCCCTGGTTCTGTGTCGCCAAAATAAGCTGCTGGCGCAATGTGCCGATCGGTACCTTCAATTAATTGCAGAGTAAATCTGTGGGGTCGAGTGCTAGTATAATATCATACGGTACCGGTACCGGTACTCGAGTGCAGTGCTCGAATACCGGCAGACTACGGAACCATAAGCCCTCGTACGAGTACTCGAGTACTGTACTGTACTGTACGAGTACAATTGGCCCATCCTTCACGGGGAATCAAGACGCTATCAGTAACCAGTAAACCTTTCCAAGATAAATACCGGCGTGCTGATTGATATCCGTAGTGCAAATTTTCGTGTGCTAATTACGGTGCGTGGGACTGTATTTTTCCAGGATAGCATTCCCGCGGGCACATCCCTCTCACAGCGGTAATATACGGGATACATCCCACTCCCATCCATTGGCCCACCGGATGAATTCCTCCAACTGGAACCACCCTCTATTGCGAAGAAGAGAAAGAGAAGAAAAAAAGAGCATTGGCTGGTTCCTAAATTAGGAGAATCTGCCCGTCCCACATCTGCTTGTACCTGCCCACCATCAGCCCACACCTCACCGGCACCTTGACCATCTAACACCTCCGCCGTCGCTTCACCCTATCAGCGAGGGTGGTCACGTCTTGCAGCTCCAGCGACACGTTCGCGTCCTCCCCCTCCCTCACCTCCAACTTTAGACTTCTCTTTACCTTTCTAACCACCTTCTGCTCGACCACTGTTTCCCCCTCAACGCCATTTCCCTTGTCGTCGTCCACCGATGCCGGGTCGAGCTTTACCACTTCTCCTCCCTCTTCGGGTCCCTCCTTGTTGTTTTCCATCTTCACCTTCCTGGCTGTTATCCTCTTGGTAGTGGTTTTCTCGACTTGAACCTCCTCAGTCTTCACCCCCTCTAATTTGACATCTGCAAAGGCCTTCAAATCCGCGGTGAAAAGTACCTATTAATATAATTGCCCCCATGATCAGCCTTCCGCCACGTCGGGCTTTGCATCTTTCCACGTGTAAGCCAAATATGTCACTAACCGAATGCGCCCAGCCAGCTTCCTGTCCCCATAACTTGCGGAAGTGGTCACCGATAGCTTTGTAAGTAGCTTTAGTCAGGCTCTTATGTTTGCCACGACCAAAGCCGTAATCCCTCTGCGCGATCTGCCAGACTAACACATCTTCAATCATCTTTGGGCCAACTCGAGCGCACGGAGGGTAGACGGAGCGATAGACAAACCATGAGTATCAACAGGTACAGCCTCAGCCTTATCCAAACTCATTAGGCAAACGCAATCCGCAACCTTCGGTCCCACACCGGAGAGTTCGAGTAAGGCCTCATGTGCATCCTTATAATCAACCTTCCTCAGCCCATCCAACCATCCCGCCAGCCGCTCTTGAGCCACGATCCTCGCAGTGGTAGATATATACTTTGCCCGATAGCCAAATCCCAATTCCCTCAACCTCTGCTCCGTCCCGTCGCCCATTAATGCCCCCGGCGACGGGAAGTCATGATAGGTGTGTCCATCAGCTTCGCCCAGTTTGGGGCCGAAATTCGTGCACAGTTTATCCACCTATCGCATCCATCACCGGTCAGCCGCCGAAAACACGGATAGATAAAGTGTTGAGGCAAGGGCCACTACCATCTGCGAGATCCTCGAGATATTGTTGTTGGACGAGCAAATAAAGCTCACCAAGTTCTCCCATGGATCCTGTCGCAGCATGCGTATGCCCGCGAAGCGCACCGCCTTCTTAAGGAAGTGCGCGTCCGCGGCGCTCCACCTCTCGTAAAGTTTTGTGAGGTTGATGTCTAGGTTGAAGTAGTCGCGGATGAGCTCTACCGTATCATCCTTCCAAGGAGCCGCAGCGGTCACAGGGAATACAGCACGGTAATGCAAATGCGAGTCGTCTTGTCGAAGTGTCAGGATTCGGCCCTTTAGCGCGCAAGTCCTAGAAACAAATCAACACCCGGACAAAGTGAAATTGTGTCACACGGGGAAAAAATTAACCATTCGCCGGGATTGGAAGATTTCCATCTATCGACCCATCTGTTAATCTCCTTTCTTTCTTTCTTTCTTTTCTTCCGTTCCCTCTGGATTGTAGCGGGTAGTTGCCTACGGGTAGTAAAATTACCTGAAAGATTGTCCGCAGCGGAGCACGGAGGATAGACAGAGCTCGCTGAGGGCTAGGGGCAACTTGTGCCATTCTCCTTTTGCCGGGGCCATTGGGAGGGAAATTTTGTCGGGGTTTGCGCGAAGAGATTCGACGCGAGGGGAAGAGGGTGCTGGTGTTGGAATTGTATGTAATTGAGATCTTTGCGGCGAGCCGCGTTGAAAGGGAGCTTGGCGGTACAGTACGTTCCGGGCAAGCGGGCCGTGGAACGACGTGATGGGTTGTGATTGCCGTCTCACGCTCGAGTATCAGACGATATCGGTAGAACGGTCCCGGACGTCTTTCTCCACCCTCTCTCTCTGGTCCGCCCGTCGGGATGCTTAGAAGGAATAGGGCAGGTTTGCGAGCATGGCTTGGGAGAACCGAGGCCATTCTTCTTGGGACAAAAAATGGGGGGGGGATAATTAGGTAGCGGTTGAGTAGCAATGATTTCTCCCCAGGGGTCTGTTGTGAGGGATTGTGTGCGCGAGCGATGCATAGCCTAGCTCGCCTAGTGCTCACTAGATTTTGTTACCGTATCGTAGCTTCACTAAAGCATTTATTTATTTCTGATAATCGCTGCTACACGTAGATATCATGCTTGGTCCACGCCAGAACACCGTGGTCACTACGCTGGTGCCGCCGGGCAGTACTGTATGATACTCGTACGGTACTAGTGCCCTGGCCGTTTGCTCGGCCACCGGCATTCGGACATAAACAACTCGGGCTGCTCCGGAATCACACTTTGTTGGGATTCTCGGCTGTCTTTCATATTCCGCTGAAGCCGTAATCTAATCACCGGGTCTTGATTCGCGCGCAATCCGTTCAGGGTACCAGTATTCACCAGATATCGGCCCTGAGACTCACTGTCGTGGGTTTGCGTAGGCAGGGATGACTATCTCACTTCTTGTATGATACTAACACTTGAGCACTGTCATATATGTACAAGTATGCATTCCACTATCGAACATCTAAAAATATTTGTCTAACGTAGAGAGGTGCGGCTCGGCACAGTTCGGCCGGGCATTTAACTGTTTTCGCAATCCATAGTTCCTCTTTTTTCAGACCTCGGAATGGTAGGGAGCAAACCACAAAACCCTGGTGCAACGCCAATCCAGCCCAGAATGAGGAAGAAAGAAAGAGGGGTTGGGAAGGAAAAGAAGGTAATGCTGTACGGCTCCCGAAGAGACACGTTCCCCCATATGTCGTACTGCCTCTGCCACCGGTGGACCGGTGGGAGTAATACTCAGGTCCCACCTTGTCCTGAAAATGAGATCCTCACGCGCTTCGGCCCGGGCGTCTCTACTTCGGACGGACTCTCCGACTCGTCATCGCCCTTTCTCCTCTTCTTCTTGTTCCTGACTGTGGTTCCAATTCTGGGTGCATTTTCCGCAATTGTCGGGGTAGAGCTATTCGTAACAGGTGTAGTGTCCTCCTGCTGCCTGAGCTATCAGAGGCAAACGTATCAGATATCACGTGATTACAACAATTCCTCAGGGATGAGCAAACCTTGGTCGCAGCAGAAGTCAACGAAGAATGCGAGAAGATGCGGTCTGCGTCGCTAATATTGTTCCTCCTCCTAGCGGCGGCACCCTTGATGTAATTATCGAAGCCTTTGACGATGTTTCCGTTCTGGGTATCCTCCAGGTATGTGAGCTCGCACTTTGCAATGTTTTCTTCGAAAAGGACCTGTGCCGCGTTAGTCACCGAGCGCACACGGCCAAGGTGGGTTTCAGAAGGGGGCTCACTAAGTTTTTTTCCAGTGTGCGCTTCCGCTGTATCATATCTCGGAGATCCTTGCGGATCTTCTCGTAGTATGGCATGCCGGCCTTATCTGGCGCTCCCGGAAGCGCAGCGGTAGCGGCGGCCGGGGTGGCGGTGGGAGCAGAAACTGCAGGAGCTCGTTCGGCGGGTGTTGCAGACATTTTGGAGGTGTTTGATGGGATTATGGTGCGGTTGTGGTGGTGGGGATCTGTCGTGAAAGAGGGCTGGGTGAGACGCGACGTTGAGAGTTGAGTTGCCGCTATTTCTGAACAAATCACGTGAGGCATTTCGAGTCATTAGGTGTCACTCGAGTATGCTACATGCAACACTGCCACAACTTTACTGCCGTGGTAGTTTGAATATAGCTTTTGTTGGTGAATACGAAGGGTTCTTCTGTCATGCAAATTCGCTTGTATTTGAGGACTTTATGGATGAGGACTGAAGAGTTATCACTTGGTTTAAAGTCCTACACATAGCCGTAGCAGGGCCAGGGGGTGTGAAGTTACCGACTGTATTCGTTTATAACACTCAAGCACGAGGTTTTGTATTTGCATGATATTTGATAATAGATATGTATATCGTACCAGAAAAAAAATCTCTGGAGAAGCCGTACCCCTAAACACCCCTAAGCCTATCACTTGTCACTCCATCCATCGGGACCTAGGGAGCTGCCGAGAAAAAAAAAAGGTTTCCTCCCGGTTAATATTACAGCCACCCCCAACCCATTTATTATTCGGTGAAGGAATGAAGAAACGTGGGAATAATGGTGTGAAGAATCTTTAATTTATCCGGGGGGGGGGGCGTCCGGGTTTCCCCCAAACGCCAGTAACAGCGGGTGGGGGGTGTAAGCATCGAAGGGGATTCTGGATGAAGATCCTACAATATTCCAGAATTGCCTGTGTTACTACTAAACGGCCATCTCGACGTGGCACTTCCGGGCTCTCTGGGAGGTCGAGAAAGACTCGAATATTAATGTGGGTAATAAATGGCTCAGGGGTAGAGTGAGCAGATTCGTGAGGGACTTGGACGTAGAGTAGGGGAGGTGGGGAGGGAAAAGCATGGTCGTGGGCTTCGCACTCATTCCCGTAAAGCTGAACTAACAGCAGTGGCAGTGGCATATATAAGACGTAGTAAGAACACCCTAATTTTTCTGCTGATCTTTATAAATATATATCCTTACTCATGTCACCTTTACTCAGCACACTCCCGTGACAATGGCCGAGGAGAGAAATGTCTGGAGAGCCTTCTCCATAAGCCGCTATAGCTACAATCAACCGCAGCACTTGTTTCCTTCATCAACTCTAACCTCAAGGCATATAGGGGACCGATAGCGATAAAGTATCATATAAGCTGCTGTTGTGAAGGCGGCGGCGCTGTCCTTGTTTTATGGTTTCAGGGAACCTTACGCCTCCCGGGCCCCAAACCAACCTGGGGGTTGTAAATTTTTGGACCTTTAGCAGATCTGCTATCATACCTCCTCATGTCCATTACTAAAAGTCTACAAGGGTGGTATTTGACTATCTTTGCCTGGCCTGTTGAGTTAACATCACGTCATATCAGTAACTTCGCTACTCCGCCACGACTGTTCCCGGGGGTCTGCCGCTTTTGTCTGACCTTTCTGGGTTGATGTCCTCCCTTCCTAATAGTGGCTTTACTACTCCATAATGTCCATTCCCGGCAGCGCATGAGGGTGGTATTTGGCAATAAACTGTGACTGGCTGCTGAGGTTGAAATAATTCTGTTCTAAGAGTATTATAGCTTTAGGTACCGGTAGGTGGTGTCCGTTCTCTGCAGCCTATTAAAGTGATGTTTGTCTACCTCCGTCTGGCCTGTCGGGGTTGACATATCCCCAACATCTGATTCGTCGTTCGTGGTGTTCTGCCCCCCTCACTACTTGTGTTCTTATGATTGATAAATTCTACACCTAAGGGATCGCCTCGCCATTGCCTCACGTTCACTGCTAGTAGCCTGGAATAGTACTGTCTACTGTGACGAGTGCCCTGCTTTCCTGGTAAATATACTTTTCCCCTGGGTGCACCTCACTATCCTTCACCCACGCCATTTTTCCACCATTCTTTCATAGGCACCCAATCCCTGAGGAGTTAGAGAACTCTGGTACTTGTAGCCGTACAATAGTGCCTGTAGATATGATCTTGTGGAACTCTCTATAAAAGGGCGGGGAGTTGCCATTGGGGAAGATATTTCATGACCGGGGCCCCTAAGGTCTAGAATGGCCATTCTTCTAGTGAGGTTTTATGGAGTCAACTAAAAGTCGGGACTTTTGGATAGAATCCGTTCAAACACGAATTTGAATATTACTGAACAATTTATCTGAGCGGTACAGTATGAAATGTGCACCCTATTTAGACGCAGTTTTAACATCTCCTCGGAATGAAGTTTAAGTGCCTGGTTTAGACTGTCCTGCAGTATCTGCACATTCGTGCTATAGTGTGAAAAGCACGGTTGCTATTTGTCCCCATCTCTGAATGTGTATCTTCATGGGTCATCTACTTTTAGTACCCGAGGACGGTGGTTTAATGTAAAATTTCTTGTGACCCGGTATCTCCCACAGGCCCCTAATTCTAGATACAGAGACCAAGGCTGCTGAGAAGGGCTATTGCTACCCTTGCGTGGTATGGCCCAAGCCCATTGAGTGTGATGGATCTTATTAGCAGTTATTTGCAATTATGACCTGTTGGACTTGATATGGGCTGGTGTGGTGACATCATTATCTGTCAATCAGGAAGTAAATTGGAGGAGAGTTTTCTAGTACGTGACGAGAGCACTTCACTATCGTATATCACTGCCTGTAGAGACTCAACCTGCGCTCTGATATCCACCTCACAGATCTGATCCCTGAGGGGGGAGCTACAATATAGTAAAAAGTCTAGCTTATAATCATCCAGCTTATAATCTGCTAGCTTATGAAATCCTCAACTTATAATTTCCCTTCCAACTTGTAGTACTAATAATTATGTATGATTTTTTTATTTTTTTTATTTAGTGGACAGTATGCGTGAGGTTTCGGTTGCCACGGCCCTAGAAAACTTTGGATCACCAGTATCACTCGAAGTCGCATATGGAACCTCCACTCTAGGGACAGAGGTGGCTTTGTAATCACAAAAGAAAATACTAGAATTATAATATGATTATCGTGCAAAGTTACTATCTCTAAGGTAAAATTTTACCCTTTATCCTTAGTTAAAAGAGGTATTAATCGACCTATGGCTCTATGAGCCCATCGGTATCCTTGGCCCAGCTTGGGAGGTCAAGATACTGTATAGATAGTGTGCTCGCTCTGCGAAGCTATTCTAGCTCTAGACTGTATCCTGGAAGACGCTTGTCTGGTTTTCTATTGCTCACGCAGAACGTGTTTGGTATTGCATAGTTGGAGGGGAGGAAACGATTGTGAACTACGAATGGCTACGAATGACTATGTAAGGTTAGAAGAGCTATGATGAAGAAGGGGTATAGGAAGGGTGGGCTTTGTCCATAGTTTGGTCGATAGAGGTAGTCTCATCGTTAGCTTTTCTTCTCTCGGCCTTTTTTTTTAGCCGTAGAATATACCCCGAGGGAACCCTTTTTGGTACTAGATTAATGCCGCCTATGTGTTCATACCTGGACAGACTTTCGCACCTCCTGAAGAGTGCACTTATAAGGGCTAGGAGCCCACAGTACCCCCCCCCCCCTCTCTGTGCTCTCGCTTTCTATCTGCTCTCACCAATTCCTATGTACAGAGAGAATTTCACTGGCGTCTTTCTATGATAAGAAAAATTTCATTTTTGAAATCCCCACCTCTGAGATAAAAGGGGTTTTTCTCGTCTCCCTCGAAGAATCTTCCTTCATCACATCATGATGCTTCAAAGCAGCATCTGGAGAACGGAAGTCTAAGCTACCATCGTCAGCCATTACCAGGAATTATTAATGCTTTCTGCACCAATTGAGTCCGTGAACATCCTCCCCCTAAGGTTGCCACGAGGGGTGGCAAGGGATCTCCAGGGGATGACACTAGAAACATTCAATGAGATATGAAAAGCTGTAGAGCTCCGGTTCCTGCTCAAGGGTCTTCTGGAGGGGCTATCTGCCATTATTAGAGATATGGAAGATTGGATGCAGTGTGGGGGGCATCCAAGGCGAGAATTCAGGCAGCCACACTTTGGTTTCGATCGGTGGGGGATGTACCAGATTTTCTCCTGGCTTTGGGGTGCTTTTTTCTCAAACCTAACTTGATTTGGTGTTTATATTAATGTCAGAGTTCATGGGCTAGTATACTTGTAATTCTCTTATGAAGGCTTTTTCGTGCGCATGCCTGGCGGGCGTCTTTGGCTTCCTTTTACTCATATCATTGTGATTAAATGTTAATTTCTAGACCCATGTACTTCTCCGCTGTAATAGAAAAGCGAAAAGCTTGGTTCCGGGAATTTGGCTTCGGGAATTTCTTTTGGAAATAAAATGTGTATCTCCATTCAAAACCGCGTGCGTGGTGATCTGGTGCTTGTAGCATATCAGCTGCAGCGCATGAGTAAGTTTAATCCTGAGTTTCCAATCATTAACTCCCAACTGGAAAATTTAATAACGAATTTGAGCCGCGAGTGATATTCTATGCCGCCACTTCAAATGAAGGACGAGCTGCAGTGCTTGTTAGGATCCAAGAAACAAAACAAATGTTGCCCCCCGCCTAGGTATCCTATACAAAATTCCCATTTTCGATTAGCTACCAGAAGCAAACCACAGCAGGTTCTGTCCCCTAGACTCGAGTGATATGATGGACATCCTGGGAAGCTTGAGATTACGAATTTTTTTCAATTTTTTATTGACAATCCCAAATACCATCGAAGAGACATAAAACTGGACCGGTCCGTTGAATCGGCTTTCTTGGCCGTGGGCCTCGACCCCCCATTCAGAACTCAGACTTTTAGCTTTTGCAAATTGATTTCTGTGGCTTGACATTTAGCTATGTGAATATTTGGACTGGACTCTCTGTCAACCAGGGTTACTGAAATTTTCATAATTTTTGTTGCTGGATAGGCGCATGTCGAAAAGTGGTGTTTTTCGCTCATGGCCTCTACTGCTCACCAAGGTACATCATCATGAGTGGTAGCCCATGACCCGAGATGTGTATGCGCCTCCTAGGAGGGATCGTGTTCCTTTTTTCTCCTCCTCCTCCCTTTCTTGCCTGGGATTAGCGGCGCATGAACATCCGTTTGTTCTGCAGG